TTATATTCAAAGGAGTATATATATATATATATATATATATAACCAAAACTTCACTCGAATTGGACAAAAGTATCAAGGATTATAGAGAATTCATACACACAGAGGATAGCTTTTATACCTACCATGCGACAATTTTATTCCATATTTCAGGCTGGTATACACGGTAAGGAAATAATTTGAGGATTAACCGTGATTTTTTTTTCTATCTATCCATTTTTAAATAAAAATAATTCTTTATACGTTGGGAGATATTTTAATAAGTTTTGTAAATTACTATGTTCGATCCAGCCAGTTATATCCGAGTTTTTTTCGTCTGTTAAGCACATCCTTTGAGGATTTCCTTACCGTGTATACCAGCCTTAAGCTGGCCCCTATTTAAGTGAAGAACCCATAATAAATTACTAGTGTACTGTGTACAGTGATTTTATCCACTCAGCCACTAGCCTATTTTTTTAATTATCTGAAAGAATGGGATTTTTTAGTTAAAAACGATAAATAAGTTTGAGTAGTGTTAAATTTCAGTGTATTAATGTAAGATACTATATTGTATATTTGATTCAATATTTTAAAATAAAATAAATGCCATTGAAAAAAGATTCTAAGTAAATTTTTAAAAAATTTTATTGGAACTTATTTTTATGATAATATTTTCATTAAACAATACAATATAACTGGTTTGTTGAAAATAAATGCAGAATAATTTGATTGAGTCATTCACTAAATTTTTATAATAAATAATTATTAACAATTTTTCAATAAACTTGAATCATCATTTACTGTGACGTGAATATAAAAACGGTAACATCGAAAAACCACTTAGCAGTTATAAAAAGGAACAGTGTTTTATTTCTTAATTGTAAAGATAAGTTAATTTGAAAATTTCTATTGATTTATATAATCTCAATATTTATATAGTTTTAATGTGGCCTAAACGAGATAAATCATTTTTACCGAATAAATACGAATCAAAGGCATTTCCAGCAGAATGGACAATAGGTAATGTTTAAAATTATTTATTTATGAGTTTATATAATTTATATAAAAATTATCGATAATAAATATTGAGTCGAAAACATTTTTTATATATAACTCTAAATTTTTAAAATTTTAAATTAAATATGATGTTTTAAAAATAGCTCCCGATATTATTTGTTATAGTACACTGTTGACTGGATTGAATAGCGGGTTGAATAGGAAAAATATCATTTCGGTTAACCCAGTACCGTTTAAATCCTGTACTTAGTAAATAGAACAGATAAATTTTCAAAAAAACAACATAGAAGTAGGGAACAACGCAGTTTATGATAATAAACTAGGCACTTCAACAAAGTATATTATTATTGTATTACAGTATTATTCCTTTTCCCTCCTCCTGCCAATAGCCTACGAAGAAGACGGCCGGATGGCCGAGCGATCAAGGTGGCAGACTACCGCTCTGGAGGAACCTGGGATCGAATCCGAACGGATCGAAAAATCCCCAGGAATTTTTCGGGGGCGGTCCATTCGGATATGTCCGGTCCGTCTCTCACCATCCGGCCGCCCAATTGTGGGCCTGGCCGAACCCATAATGAACTTGCTAAAAGAAGGCCCTCTTAGGGCGGAAAGAGTTAAAAAGAAGAAGTCGATGAGTCATAAAGCGATTTTTGATGACTTAATGACACATAGACATGTTTGACATCTCATTTAATGCGATTTCAGATAATCTAGGGTTTACTAAGAAATAATTAAATACATTATTCTTTAACACATAAATTATTTATAAGTTTATTAATTATAATATGAAATAAAACCTAAAAAGACAATAGACAATTAAATTATTTTACAACCCAATTAATATAATATATCAAAAGGGTATTTTTTTACATGAGAACGTATTATTCATTTTTACGTTACTTCTTATGGGAAAGGTTGGTTTGGTATACGTCCTATTCGGTATAAGTCCAAATAGGAACTGATTAAGGTCGTATACCGTGGTTCCACTGTACTAGAAAAATTCATTTATAGTAAATGTATTCTGTTGAAATAATATATGGATGAGTAGGTTTTGAACAGGATTATACAATTTACTGCATAAGTTGTGCATGAAAGCAGAGGAAATGTATGACAAGAGAAAGTTTTTTTTTATAAAGTATATTTTGCTCAACATATAAATGTTTTATGAATTGAACATATTGAATAAATGATAATTACTGTTTTGTTAAAGTTGCATATTTTATTACATTTTATTAAATTCTGAAAAAATTTTAAGTGGTCTTTCTATAGTTTTTTAAAAAAATTTTCTTTTAGATTTAATCCAAACTCATCTACGGTTATAATTTATAAAAGCATTTAAAGTAAATTTATTTTTATTTTTAAAGTTAAAAAATTGATTTCTTTTATAAAATAAAAGCAAACTTTTTGAAACTAAAACTAAAAATCTGTAAGATTATATATTTGAATATAGATATTAATAATAATTCAGTTATTTGATTGTGTTTATACAAAACTGACGTATATTGAATAATTTCTAAAATTATCATATGATAATATATTAGGATGTGAATAATTTATATATTTTTATATTGAAATACCGTATATTTATGAATGTGGTTTTACCAAATCAAACAAAACGACAGTTCTTGGAATATTCATATTTATTATATTTCGCTAAAAATTCCAGAATGGCTATTTTCAAATTCTTTTTTTCATTTACATTCATTTTCTTCATTATTTCAGTAATATTTTCAAAAACTGAATCCACAAAAATCTCATCACTTGTGCGATTCTGTTGCTGCTGGATGTTTGCCAAAAATGGCTGAAAAGGCAGATAAAGTATTTAATATGCTGGTCTCCAGTTCATTGGCAGTTTCTGTCACCCTCCTTTTTTTTTCTTTTTATATTAGTCAGTGATGTTAATCTGACACTGTCACCGGGGGATGTCGATGCACTATCACAACCCTCTGATTTATCTGACAATGAACAAGATGTCCTGTTTCCAGATGCATAGAAGCAGGAATAGAAGACATCTCGTTCATTGTCTGAAGCATTCTCCCCGGTTAATATATCAAAAGTATTCCATGGAGATGTGTCTAATTAATTAATACTGTAATTGCATCATTCCATTTTTATAACAATAAAATATTCACCAAATATTAATTAAGGCTTGGCGCGGTCCTGGATATATTTATCACTATCCAGAACCCAATTAGGATTTAATAATTTATCAACAGTAGTTTAATTCTTCATTGTCTCATCGAATCTGCCCGTGATATTCATATGGTATCTAAAAGAAGGGTACTGTACGTTCTCTTTTAGGATACCACATGACAGACGTATTCCACTTTGATTTAAAAAAGTGCCTTCCCTCTATTCAAACACATAGGTAATGTTTTCTATTTCAAAACAATTCTGTAAACTTCGTTGTAGATGAAGTTAATACCAGCTATTTAGTTATTTTATAGTAAAAACCCTACTAAGCTTTATTGTGACGTATTACAAAATTAACCAATCATTAATCACGTAAAATCGATCAAGAATTTTTGATTAATTTTGTTTTGTATAATTAATTTCAAGTTATTTAACCAATTATTACTTAACACATTCTAAAATCTATACAAAATAAAAATTACTAATTAAAAAATTACGTCATCGGGATTGTCTTCTAGTTCACTTGGAGATGATTATAATAATTGAATTATTAGGAAAATAAATTTTAAATCATTTATTTATTAATTAATAATTGAAATAAATTTGAATATATTTACAAATAATTAATTTAATCAATTTTAAAAAATACAATAATAATAAAAAAATTTTAAACTTGTGCACCATTCATAAAAAGTACCAATTTTATATTTCAATAGTTTTCGAAGCTTCAGCGTGAAACGTAGATGGCACGTGCCTTCAAAATTAAAAATAAAATAAAATAAATTATCGCAATTTAAATAAAATTGTTTATTTTAAAACGCTAAAATTTAATTAAAAAAACTAATTTGGAATTTTAGATCATTTTTTTTTATGTGAATAATGATAATAATAATCATTGATTAAATAAGTTAACGAAAAATTTCGATTTTAATCGCCAGGTGTCTTATCGACGGTTTGTTTTATTTTTGTGTTGAGTGAGATGGGGGAGGGTATTTTGTGATTTATATATTTTGTGTTGAGGAAAAAAAGTGTCCTTATGATGAAAATGAAATGGAAATTTAAACAAATGTATTCGTATGGTAAGGCTTATATTTTTAACCAATGTATGCAAGTTTTATTTATTGCATAAAAACCTTTTTATACTTGTTTTGCTAGTTTTTGATAACAAATGACGCATTATATATTTAGATATAAATCTTGTAATGTAATAATCCACTTCGTTCAAGTATTGAAAAATAAATAACGTGGTTTTAATGGTACTAATAGGCGTTTTCGTTCAATGTTGACACGCAAGTTTTCCTTTTTTTTTTCTTGTTTAAGAGAAAATGAATCTAGACAAATAGGCCACTTTGGATATTTTTCGTTCTTTAAAGAAATAAATAAATAAATGCAGAAACAGCATGTTGCTTTCTATCAGGAAGAACTTGCAAATAATTTATATGTATATTTTTATATATATATATTCTGCTATATATGTTTTTTATGTTTTGTGTTATAGCATTGCTTTTTTATTTGTTTTTTTAAAATTTTCTTTAGGGTTTATTATATACGGGGTGAAAATCAACTGCCTGACGGCAGTTCCAAAAAAAAAATCAGATACCTTGATATAAAGATCAAAGGTTTTTGGCATTGAAGGAATACATGATAATGTCTTCCAGGATCTCTTAAATCTGTTTAATATAATGACTGTGCAAAATATTTTGCATGCCATTCTAAATTCTAGTGCGATATTTGTTCCCCTCCCTCGCTGCCCCATTGTGGGTCTGGTTGAACCCATAGTGGGCTTGCTAAAAGAGGTCCTCTTAGTGCCCATTGGGTGTAAAGAGTTAAAAAGCCAAAGCCACCTGCTCTTCGGACCATTTGAGGATGGCAGTCATAGTTTGCTTTTGCATAGTTTGTGTCTGTATTAGACTTGTTCCTGTTTTGAAGTCATTTAATGTATTATGAAAAATTTTGTGATTGAATATGAGTTCATAGATTATATCAGTTGTGTAAAGTTACATTGGGTTACCTTTTGGTTAATTGAATAATGCAATTGAACTTCGGTTGCTATTTTAAAATATTCTTGATTTAAAAAATTTTAGTTAAGAGTTTTGACAGAAGCTAACTCTTTTGAATATTCCACTTATTTTATTTGTAATACTTTTAGATTATCTTTGTTACACTAATATTTTTCTCTTTTCAGATGAATTTTATTATAATATATTTATGCAGTTTTTGTTTGATCATGATTAAATTTTTGATGACTTCATCTCTCTGTAGCTGTACAGTTAAGAAATATTTTCATTATCTGCTTGTATTTATTTATTGATGTTTTTTCAAAAATATACAGTTCTTTGCAATTTATGCTGAACAAAAGAATTTCTTAATTTTATATTCTATATTCCTATGTTGTCTTAATTTGATATTCTAACAATTCAAACAGAACAACTGTTTATACATAACTTTTTGAATATAACTGCAACATTACAAATTCACTTTTTTAATCAAATTAACAAATATTTTTAAATTATAAAGTGAAAAAATATATTATTCATGCATAAAGCAAAATAAAAATATAAATAAAGCATAGTAAGGTAACATAACAAAAATGAAAAAATATACAAATAAAATAACAGTAAATAAAAACATATAGCTGATTAAGTGATCATCTGTACATTTTTATTTACTGTTGTTTTATTTTTGATTTTTTCTATTTTATTATTGTTATCTTACCCACTTTAGTTTTATTTGTATTTTGACCTTTATTTCTGTTTTACTTTATGCATGGATAATATTATTCTTTCATGTTTATAATTTTAAAAATATCTGTTTACTTTGTTTAAAAAAGTGTTTGAATTTGTAATGTTGATCAGTTACATTCAAAAAGTTATGTATGAGAGAATTTACAAATTGATGTATGAAAAATTATATAATGACTAAGTAGGGATTATAGCTAGTTATGCAATTTTCTAAAATTTTTATAGTATTTTAGATTTACTGCTGGTATTTTTAATGTTTTATAAAATGTAATAATAATGCCTACTTTTTATTATTCATATTTCATAAAACTATAGTTCTGTCTTTGATCATTTCACATGAGCAAAATATCTAATGAAATCATGGATCAAAAAGAAATTGTATATTTCATCAAAATATTAGAGTTTGATATTAATGTGTAGCAAAGAATGTTTCCAAACATGTGAGTCAGTATTGAATGAGAGGTATGAATCAGTAATAAGTATGAATAACATTACTTCATACATACATTATTTTTTCCGTTTACTATGCTTTGCTTCATTAGCCATGTGTAACTTACTCTTTTAAGTAAAAGTAATTGTTAGTAGGATATTTATGGGGATAAATAAATTCAAACGAAAGAAATAGTGAAATTTGTGGAAATATTAGAAATACATATTTTCAATACTCTAAGAATTCAATTTACTGTTTACTTTTTATCAATATATTTTATTAATTTATTAGGAAAGACTCTAGAAGGTCTTGCTGTTTTATGTCTAATCTTATGTATATAAGATTATTAAAATGCTTTTTAATAATCTTATATACAATAATATTTTATATATTGTTGATATATAAGATATATATCAACAATATTTTATGATTGCTATATATATATATAGCAATCATAAAATATTGTTGTCATGTAACAATGAAGAGATTGACAATAAAATGAAGGAAGCATTTTAATAATCTTATATACATAAGATTAGACATAAAACAGCAAACCCTTCTAGAGTCTTTCCTAATAAATTGTTTATAAAAAAACAGAACAGAACAGATTGCTATATATATAGCAATTTCCTTTCAAATGTTCTGTTTTTTTATAAACAATTACATTTCTAAAGCTGTGGCATATCAAACAACACATTTTATTATATGCTAATTATATGAAATTATAAATGTTAAATAATACAAATTCATTGTTATTTTTGATATGTTGGCCAATTAGCTCTAATTATACTTTGAAAGTCAATTCATTATTGATAGTGTTTTTTGATATTACACAATACTTTCAGTTTTAATGTATTCTTATTATTCTATCAATAGATATTTAGCAATAGTGCCAGAGGAAGCAAAAATTTTAAAGTATTTTGTTATAATTTAAATGATTAGAAATACTGTAAATGCAATTATATTGGTTTTTATCTTTAAAGATAGAAATATTTAACATTTAACTAAATCTGTCAGCATAAACTCTTAAGAATGTTGGGATTTGTGAAGAAAAATATTTAATGGTTTTTGGATATGTAACTTAAGATTATATAATCTCATTTTTTTTTAAATAAAAGTGTACTTAATTTGGAATTTAAAATGTTCTGAATATTGAACAATATTGATGATTTGTTGATCTGTGAGAAAATAAATAAGATGCTTTGTTCATCTATGTAAAGTTACATTTTTGTAGAAGAAAAATTATGTTGCCATTTTATTTTGATTCTTTAAGTCTTAAGTATTAAAGGATTATATTCAAAGGAGTATAAGTGTAGAAATAGGTACCTTTTCTTTGCTTTTGCAATGTGCCAAAAATTGTGTCAAATTTTAAGAATGTTTCTCATTCAACAGCTATCATGCGTTGTATTCAAAATTATTCATTTTATTAAAGTTAAATTTATGACAACTGCTTTGATAATTTTTTTTTACAGTTTCAGCAGTTTAGTTTTTCATATTTGTCATTTAAGCAGTTAATAGATAACATCTGGATAAAGTTTATAATTTTATGAGAATATAAATGTTATTCTCTCATTTGTATATATTGTTTGTTATTATTAAAAAAATAGTTGTACTTATTAACTATTACTTTCCCAGCTGTTATATATAACAGAAGGAAAGTATGGCAATTGATCAAAAAATAATCCCTCCAAGATTTTTGCATTTTTGGACTTGGTACACCTTGAAATGTCAAAATGCAAAAAAAAAAAAATTTGGGGGTTTTTCTGTATGTGTGGATGTTTGTGTGGGGGGCACTATTTTACAGGGAGGTTTGTTTATTAGAAGAATTGATGCTATTAAATTTTGATGATTAAAAGTCAAGGGGATGGGGAGATAAAGGGGTCATGTGTATCTCCAGTAGAGTCAGACTTAATGAAAATTTTACTCATTACAGTAGAACCTCGAAAACTCGACCTAATGTGGACCGAAGGGTGGCCGAGTTTGTGAAAATGCTGAGTTATCGGGAATGGGGTTAAAAAAAATAAGTACGAGTATTTCCTCAGAAAATACTGTACTGTACTTGTACTTGTACAGTATTTACTTGTACAGAATATAACAGAGAATAAACTGCCCAAATACCCTTAAACAAAGGAAAAGTACGTCCTTTATGAAGGCATAGAGCCACTACATGAAAATGAAAATTAATGAATACACTGTGTACAGTAATTTACCTGATAAGACAGACCTCAGAAAAATACTTTATGAGAGCTTTTATACTTTTATAAAGCTGTCTATAATGAAAATTAATTAACTAAGGATTTTTTCGCCCTGCCAAGGTGTGGACCAGTTATCCGGAGTGCTAAGTTATCGAGGGACGAGTTTTCGAGATTCTACTGTATTAGCATTTATAATTTTTTATAAAATTCATCCCAACTCTCAAAATTCAGCCTTTTGCCATTTAATTATAAAAAGTTTATTATAAAACATATTTTTAACAGATGGTGCCACCAAATGTTGCCAGAAAAGTTAAGCAACTTGTTGCTGGATTTTTTTTTCTTCCTGATATCCAAATATAATCAAACTACAGTTTCACTTTAAGTTTCTTTACTAAATCTATTAAATACATTACAGAAGTGAATTTTTATTTGTTTATTTTCATAAGCCAAAACTAAGTTAATGTCATATCTTCCGGTATTAACTCTCCTTATTAACTCAGTCCAAACAATTCTGCATAATTTTTCTAATTTATTCCTCTTACTGTATGTTCATTCTTCTAAAACTTTCTTAGTCCATAATCATTTCAAAAAATCATTTTGTAGTGCCAAAAATGATTGTGACTGCAGAATCGGCAAGGGTTGGCATCTTTTTGATGCCACATCAGGACTGACACCACTGTCTTAACAGACATGGAAATCACGATGGCTATTAGTTATTACATTCCCGATTGTTGGTTTCAGGTGACACTTTAGGAAAATGTGTCACCTTTGAAAGGAAGTGAATCTGGAGAAAGATATAATCATATCCTTCCAGTTTTTTATTAAGTGTAGAAAATTCTTTCGCATGAGTTTAAATGTTTTTTTTCTTTTCTTTTATAAAACAAATGTGAAAGTTTATAGAAAAAAGTTCACTAAATCCAGGTTTTCACATGATCTTTTCATAACTCTGTTATAAGAATATAATTTACATATTACTTTCACAACTGTTATGTACAGTAATACCCTGAACTTACGTGATAGGTGGGACTGAGCGATAACCGCGTAAGTCGGGGTATAATTTCGCAATTTATGTAAAATCCAAGTCGGATGTATGTAAGCTAATAAATGTTCTCGTTAATCTTATCTCGTCTTTTGATTCGTTCATGGTTACAAGAAATCACCACTTAATGTTTCTCAAGTCTCCGTAGCTATAACAAACACAGAAATAAATAACACAAAATAAATTGTAGCTATGTGTCGATTCCACGGGACACGTCTGAACATGTAAGCCAAACAATAGTGTGGGGGGAGTGAGTAATCAAGAGTTGCGTGGCGCTTAAACCAAAGACGAATCGACGAGATTTGAAAATCGCGTAACTTCGGGTTTGCGTAAGTCGGGGTAGCGTAAGTTGAGGTATTACTGTATAAATAACAAGGGAAGTAATGGAATCATGTTAAATTTGACTCTCGGAGATTTTTGCAAATTTTCACATTTTGAGACCCCTGAACCCAAAAAAGTAAAAAAAAAAAAAGGGCAAAAAAGTTGTGTATGTTGGCATCTATTTTGCTTAATATCTCAACAAGGGGTGAATATAAAGAAACAAAATTTGGCACAATAGCTTGCATATAAAGGACATTGATGCTATTAAATTTTGGTTGTGAAAGGTCAAGGGGATGGAGAAATAGAGGATGGTCATATGATATCTTGTGACGGGTCAGACTTAATGAAGATTTTACTTGTTAGTATTTATAGTGTTTTATAAAAATCATCTCTACCCTCAAAATTAAGTCTTTTCCTATTTTATAATAAATGAAAATATATAAAGATTTTATAACAAAATCTCATACAATTTAATTATTTATTTTGATTAGTAATACAAATGTTAGTTTTAAAATAAAATCTCATAAAAGCCATGTAAGTTATGCAACTCATTATTAGATTTTTTTTATGAATAATAATATTATTAATTAAAATTTCGTAATTAATTAAAATTAATTAAATAATAAATAAATAAATAAATTTATTTATTATATAATAATATAATTAATAAATATAATTAATAAATTTATTTATT